ATCTAAAGTACTAATTTCCATTTTAATGAAACTTAGTACAAAGATGCTCTAGGACAATGTACAAACCTAATTAGTTTGGGGTCAAACTCTGTTCATATTATTTCCCCAATTAGCATAATAATTCATAATTTTTTGGTTCTAATCACATTTCAATTAAACTTGGTACATAGAGTTTTTGTTACATTGCGCAGACCTCATTAGTTTTACAATCAAATCTGTTCATGTTAATTTTCTGATTTGCATAATTAGTTTTCAGCTAAGTAATTTCAAATTATATTTAATGTGTCTCCAATACTCTCAGCACATGGGAATTCTTTCTAAGCTTTCTTTGATTAATTGTTTGAACAGAATGATTTATATCGGTAATGACGTTTTCATCTGATATTAATTGTGCAATTGTTAAAATGCCTACCTACACATTTATTGTTTTTGTTTCTGAAATAGTCATTTGTAAAAAAAAAAATTAAAAATCATGCTTGATTAAAATTCAAAAAAAAAAGATGTAGCCATGTACCCCCTTTCTGTTATCTGTTTCCAACTTCTTTCAAAGTAAAACTGGCAAAGGCATGTAATTGCCATACAATCATCAACTGTGGGAAAACTTATATGTTATTGAAAATCTTTATTTTGTTGTCTGTGAATTAATATAATATTTGAAATGGTGTAATGGTGCAAAATATTCTCAAACAATCTGTCTTCTGGTGGCACTACAGTATTCCAATGCGCGATCTCAGCTTACTAAGTGATGATGGTGGTTGAAATGGAAAACTGAATACAAAAATCCAGGAACATCTCAAACGAATTTCCGTCTGCTGTGAATGCATGTTTCGTTGCATCAAATAAATAACCCAATTTTATGATAGAAGCTTGCGATCTTGTGCCATACAGGGTCAAGTGATTGAGCAATAAAAAATGTGGTTTTTTGTATCAGTTATTGAATGTATCCAAAAACATGGTACCAATGATCTTAAATTTCAGAGTGCTCGCTGAAGGTTTAACAATCTTGCGTATTGTCTTGTTCTTTTTCAATCCTGCATTTCAGTTACTAGAATTCATACTAAAAAAAATAGT